AGTTCCAGAAGAATCAAGCCTTCTGTGTAGGCTGCCTGACATAGGCCATGGCCTTGTCAGTGGATCCTTAATTAACAAAGAGTTTTTTATTTATCCAGTGCAAAGCTTTTCTTACCTCCTTCCCCTGTCTGCTAAACCAGCCATGCAAATCAGCACGTACTGAGACCTCAAAGAAATCCAACAGTGGACTTGAAAGAATCCATGCAGCCGGCTGAAGGGGAGTTTAATAAGCTTGATCTCTCCTTTTCTTCTGTTTGGATTCAATTTTTACAAGACTCTTGATGTGTTTGCTGCAGTAAAATTCTAGGTCTCTGGGAGGCCAAAGTGATGGAAGGCAGTCAGAGAGCTGGGGATGGTAAGGGGTGCATTGGGAAGGTAACAGAAGTGTGGCTTGGGCCACAGGCAAGGGGCTGGGCCATTCAGGATTGCCAGAGCTTCACGCTCATGGAGAAAACTTGGCCAAGTCACAGCCTGAAATATAGGCCTACCTTTTTATTCCCTAGGGCTTTAAATTGCATGTTTCTTCCCCCTAGATGCCTCAAGCTAGCTTTATTTTCTCTCTTTCAGAAAATTAGAAGCTGGACACAAGGAACTGGACTTTCACCTGCAGGCTGTGGCCTCTCTGAACAGTGATAAAGGTCTCTGAGGTTGTCAAACTGATGGGAGTTGTCCCCAGTCTTGACAGACTGGGCAAGGAGAATTAGAAGGAGAATGTAGGTTGTAACTGGCTGTCTCTATACTTTCCAGAAACTAAGGGGGCCTGAGTTTTCCAGAGAAACTGAGATGAGAGGGGAACTGGGTTTCCTGTGGTCTTTGACTCTCAGCTGAGTTAGTGGGAAGAGAACCAGCCACAGAGATACCAGAATGATTGTATCAGCAACCCCTCTGAAAGTCATTCTCCATCTGAAAAAAGGAGAAAATGTGAATAATCAGCAAAGGAGAAAATGGTTCCCAGGGATCCCTAGGCCCCTGTGTTTGTGAATCTTATCTAAAAGCTTTCCTTAGCACCTTCCAGTGAAAGCATTAAAGGAGAGAGAGGAGGGACACAATCTCTGGCACTCAGTGTGGTGAGACGGCAGAATCCCCATCTGCTGAGTTTCCTGGAGTGGAGGAGACAGTGCTAATGGGATGTTCCCATGCTCCTTTTGCAGTTGAACTGGAGCCATATGATCACTTCTGTCCAATGGCTTGATCATAAATGGCGTGTGCACTTTAGTGTCCAGGTAGTGAAAAGCCACTGTGCTACAGCCATCTCTCTTTACCTTGCTGGGCCAACCATGACAGGCAATGCTGAGGTGGAAAAGACAGCTGGACGCTAGTCACTAGTTGAAGAACTCCTTCCAGGTCACATTGGATTTTGAGTGAGTGAGAATTAAGCTTTCACTGTGCTAAAACATGGAGATTAAGAGCTTTCCCATGCCAACCACTATCAATAATCATCATGACTAATAGGATAGTGTTGGGCTGGTGGTTTCTGGAGACACCCTCCAAGCACATGAGCACTTCTCCAGAATAAGCTGATGGAGTTCTATCTCCATCCAGTCTTGTCAACTCTCCACAATGTTTTTTGAGGTTATTCTGTGGAAGTCTGAGTACTAACCAATCCTAAAAGGTCATCTGTGGATTGTTGAGATCTCTGCAACTTGCCAATGGGAAAGCACTTCCTATATATCCAGATGGCTCTTACCAATGTCAATCTACCAACATTCTAAATACTCCAGCCAAAAAAA